GACAGACGGACGGACCAGTAGCACAGTTCTACTCTGTTCTATAGGTCCACTGTGAGTCCGTCAGGGACAAGTCAATGACAGCAAGTTTGGTTTTGTGTCTGATTAAACACAGGAATAAAGACCTAGTCATTTCTCCTTATGCTTTACTTTCAGATTTTATTCGTTTATTGGACAAGTAGTTACTGAATTCCTATGAGGTGCTAGGTTATCAATAAAAAAAGCCATTTAAGTCTAATATTTCTCCATGACTCTTTCAAAAATATGTATCAAACTCAACTCATTGTTGCCAAGTCAATCCATTAAAGTTGAATTTTAAACCTTAACTGGGATGTCACCAAACCAAGTATTTAAAGTTAAGATACCATTTTCAGAAAGGCCCAGGGCTTACACTCAGCCTTCTTGATTATTTATTTGATTACACTTATGATGGTAATAATTACTTTATAGTACCCAAGAGATGAAAACTAGAGTTAAAGAGGGTAGGAAAAATAATTCTGGAAAGAAACAAGTATCCATCACCTCTGTGACTGACTTCAGTGACCTCTGCCCATGCAAAATAGGACATTAAGTAAGTTCTACCTCCTCCCCCGAGTTCTGCTCCTCCTATACAACTAACTGAAAGGTCACTTCTTCAGGAAGCTCCTAGGATTTCCTTTCCTCTCCCAGTCATGCTCCACACAGCATGTTCTCAGTCAGCGTGGCTTTCTTCTCTCCTACCTTCAGCCCCAGAGGCCTCACCTCCACAACACAGGAGGTTGAATGTACTGAATGAATGGTATGTGCTGAATGAATGCTATCCTGTGTGAGTATGCAAGTTAATCTGAGAATGCCCACCCAAAAAAAGGCCTTATTGCCGAAATAGGACTTTTACTTGTGCCCTAATCAAAAAAGTAAGCCCTGTAAAGTCGGGGATAGCTGAAAAAAGTCAGCTTACAAACGAACAATGGTAATGCATGTTGACAAAGGGAAATAATAAACACTGTTTCCTTTCCCTAAAAAACTTCTTACGGGAATAGTAAGTATCTTTGGGAATCAGCAAGGTGCCTTGTCCTGATGAAAGGTTTCCGGGCCTTGAGAAGGAATAGGGGAAGTTTCTGATAGACGTCCTTCATAAATAGATCTAGCTACACATGCAGATTTTGACTGCACCTGTGACCACATGAGCAGGCAATGTGTTTCTTCGCACATCTGGCCAAAGGAGTTCTAAGTCCTCAAGTGTTCCTAAGAATGCAGGAGTCCAGGGACCCAGGGAGACAAGCCTGGTTTTCTAGCTTTTAGATACGACCGACCTATGTTCTGGTTCACTGTGAGGAGGAGATATGTGCAGGTACAGGACCTCGGTGCAGGCACAGGACACCCCTCCCCCGGGCGGGGGGCTCCCGGGGCGGGGGGGCTCCCTGGAGTTGCGGGGTGAGTGGAGTGAGGCGCGGGGGCTCTCCCCTGGAGGTGGTGAGAGCTGAGGGGCACCTACGGGGAGCCGGCCGGCGGAACGGGCGAACGGATGTGCGGCTTAGAGAAGCCAGGATACATGCGGACAGATGACTGGGCAAAGGCGATTTTGCGAGAGAAGTGAGGTGGGCAGGCGCAGGGGCTGGGGACTGCCCAGACAAGGGCACGAAGTTAGGAAAGGGCAAGTCGGGAAAGCGCAGAAGCAACTTTGGCAACCTCGAGGATGGGCGCTGGGGCAGGTGGAGGGGGAGCAAGAAAGAAACTGGGAAAAGGGTTGGGGGGGGGGGGGCGACCAGAGCCCAGACAATGACACGCATGATTGACACACGCTGCGGGCAACCGAGCTGCAAAAATCTCAGGGAGGACTTTGGGACGTCGGACTTGGAGCACTCCGAGTCGGCGAGACAAACAGCGGACGTGGCATTGAGGTCCCGGGGAGACTGGGCGGCGAAAGCCAGGAGCCACGGGGTGCAGTGTGGGGAGGCAGGAGTCTCCCAGACTGGGCGGAGGTCGTGTTCCCGGGAAGCAGGCAGCGTGGGGGTTGGGAGACCCGTGTCCTGGCACTCTTACCCTAGATCTTCCAACGACTCCAAGATGTCAGTCTCCATGAGGTCACACTCCATGCTACTGTGGTATTCAAATTTCCGAGTCGTCAGGGTCCCCACTTCGCCGGCAACGCGTACACTCACGCATGCGCTCTCTCCCCGGAACGTCCAAGTCGACAGCTGGCGCTTCAGCTCCTACACTGCGCATGTCCGGAGCGTGCGCAAGAAGCTTGGTCCCGCCTACCGCTCCGCCCCCGACGGCCAAAGGACCGCCCGGCGGCAGTGATGCACATGCGCACTACGTGAACAATGAAGCCAGTCGCCAGAAGGGCAGACGGACTGGCTGCGTGGCAGCTGGGCGTGGAGGGAGGAGCTCGGCGAGGGGGAGCGCGTTAACCTCTTTATTGGGTGTACGCATGTGCGCATTTTGGGGCGAGGCGGGTGGGGCGGTGCTTGGCTAGCTTCGGATTTAGGTATATCCGCTTGGAAACGTGGTTTGTCGAACTCGAGGAGTCGCCGGCGTGGCTCTTCAGCTGTGGGCCGGGGGAGAAAGGACAAAGTCACACGCTCACATCGAATTGCCCGCCGCATGAGTGGTCGAGTCCGCTTCCAAGAAGGCGCGCGCGCGACTGGTCTGCGAATTTCCTTGTGGATGCAGAAATTGTATTTTAGGGTTAGGGAGGAGAGCGTTTTGATTTTGACACGGATGCCGTCACAACGCTGTGCTGTTGACCCCCAAGGCGTGCTGGACTTCTTAAACCTTTCCTCGGCCCTAAACATTCTTGTTTAAAAGGATGGTTCCGCCCCGTAATACAGAGAATACATTTAAATGTAACCACGTTAGCCAGTGAATAAGCACTTTTCCCGTGATTAAGTTGCTTTTGACATGAGTAGGCTAGGTGGAACGGTCAATTCTTGACAGCTGTTGCTTGCCTTTGTGTTTAAAATTATTGGCAAAAAGAAAAATTGTTTCAAAGATGGCATATCTAGAAAATAGCGAAATTGACAATACATTTACATTGTGTTCCATGGCTGAGATTTAATTAAAGTGCTTTTAAATCTGCACAAGCATATGATAGGATCCTGGTGGCACAGTGGGTTAATCATTTGGGCTAGTAAATGAAAGGTCTAAGGTTTGAAACTACCAGCTGTTCCTTGGGAGAAAGATGAAGCAATCTGTTCCAGGCTGCTTCTGTAAAGCCTCAGAAACCCTAGGAAGCAATTCTACTTTTTCACAATCAAGTTGAAAGCAATGAGTGAGAGCTTTTATTTTGTTTTTCTAAAACATTTTTGTGTTTAATGGATAAATACCACCTTTCCTTAAAAACAACAAACCCACTGCCATTGAGTTGTTTCTGACTCACAGTGACCCTATAGGACAGGATAGAACAGAACTGTCCCTCTGGGGTCTGTATAAGAGCTTCACCTTTCTCCCACAGCGCAGCTGGTGGATTTAGCCCCCAACCTTGTGGTTCACAGCTCCTGGATGCTGCCAGGGCGCCTTCCTTTCTTTAATAGTACTTAATGCTTAAGTCCATCCTGCAGAATACCTACTTAGCTCTGTATTTTGCACCATCTCGGGGTGGGGAAGAATGAACATTTATAATATGCATAAGGAAACGTGGTGACACAAGAGTTATGCTTTTGAATACTAACTAGAATGTTCCAACCCAACTACTGGCTCTGTTGGTGAGAAACCTGGTGATCTGTTCTCATAAAGAATTACAACCTCATTAAGAGAACCATTAAAAAAGACACCAAACTTGACCCGTGGTTGCCATAGATGCAGGAGAAAGAGTTTATGCTTAGGGGACATTGAGTTTATGTTAGTGGTGGTGGAATCATTTGGAAAAAGATATCAATAATGGTTGTACAGCATGAAGAATATAATCAGTGGCACTGAATTATACTTGTAGAAGTTGCTGAATTGAAGACTATTTTGTGTGTATATTTTTGCCACAATAAAAATTAAAAAATAATAATTACACAAATAATGCATATAAGGAAGAAAAAAGTGTTCTAAAATAGATTTTGGTAATGATTGTATAATTCTTCTGGATATGATTGAATTATTGAATTATATGCTGTGTGGATGAAATGCCAATAAAACTGCTTGGAAAAATAGCCTAGAAAACTCCGGGAGCAGCTCTTCTCTGCCACATGCAGTTACTGGGGTCAGGGTCATCTTGGTGGCATATGGCCATCCTCCATACCCACTGCGTTCATGACGTGGCATCACTCCCATGTTATTTCAGACAACATCCCAAGGCTGTGTGGTAGTACTGGCAGGAGGACAGACATATAGACCAACACAAGAAAATGGAGAGGCGAGGAAAAAGAATATGTTTGAAGTCAGCTGGATATTTAACCATGATGCTGTCTTCGTTATCTAGGGCTGCTATAACAGAAATACCACCAAAGGATGGATAGCTTTCACAAACATCAAGGGATTCTCTCACCGTTTAGGAGGTGAGAAATTAGAATTCATAGCACTGACTCTAAAGAAAGATTTTTTTCCCCCTTCTCACTGTCTTCTGTTTCTAGGAGGTTCCTGTCACAGGGAACTTGGATTTCAAGGACACATTCCATTCCTGGCTCCTCTTTCTTGATGAGAGTACATCCCTCTGATCTCTGCTCTCATGTTGAATCTCTTTTTTATATCCAAAATGATTGACTCAAGGTACAGTCAAATCATGTATATCGTATCCTGCCCCATTAACATAACTGCTATTAACCCTGCCTCATTAATATCACAAAGTTTAGGATTTATAGTACATAGCATAATGACATCCGATTTTAAAAGTGGGCAATGTTGATATCGTCCTGAGAATCATGGTGGAGAGAAGTTGATGCATAGTTTAGGAAGACACAATCCAGTTATCTGAAGCGAGCTAATCAGCTGGTTGTCATGGAGCTGACTCCCGCTCACGGCAACCTCCTGTGTGTCCGACAGAGTGGAACTGTGCTCCTAGGGTTCTTAGTGCCGGATTTTTCTGAAGGAGCTTGACAGGATTTGCTTCTGAGGAGCCTCTAGGTCAGCGGTTCTCAACCTGGGGGTCGCGACCCCTTTCGGGGGTGTAGAACAACCCTTTCACAAAGGTCGCCTAACATCACTGGAAAACATACTTCTGATGGTCTTGAGAACTGAGACACCGCTCCTCTATCTGTCTCCAAGTAGGTCCACCCACATACAGACACACCCACATACGAGTCCCCGGTGTGAAGACTGTGACCTATACTATATCATATTTTGAGACAAAATTTCATTTATTTGTAATTAGAAATGAATATTTCACAACATGTAATGACATCTTGTTTTTGTGATTAAATACTATGCTTTACTTATGTTCAATTTGTAAAATGAAAATACATTCTGCATATCAGATATACATGACGATTCATAACAGTAGCAAAATGACCGTTATGAGGCAGCAACGAAATAATGTTATGGTTGGGGGTCACCACAACATGAGGAACTGTATTCAAGGGTCGCAGCGTTAGGAAGCTTGAGAACCACTGCTCTGGGTCAACTAACTGCTAAGGTTTCAGTTAGCAGTCAAGCTTGTTAACTGCACCATCCAGGGACTCTTCATTGGGGAAAAGATAGTCCATTCAACACGTGGTGTTGGGACAATGACTTCACTTTACCACGAATAACAGGCACATTACATGCTTTGACAAATGGCCCAAACCCACCTGCTATTTCCATAAGCACACTATACCAGTATTTTTCACATGTTGTTGACTTTAACTTTTTACCCCATGCAGTATATTTAATGTCACTGGGAGAAAACTGTTTTGATAGGAACTTCATTTAAGGTGAGTGTTTTCCTAACGCACGTACAACCAATGGTGCACTAAAGAGGTTCACGATGGGAATGGGACAGCATGCTGAGTCCAAGGTGCATGAGTGCCCGAAGAGCCAGAAATGATGAAGACCCAAGACCCAAGACCACAGGGCCAAGGCGGCGCTTACATTTCATTGCGCCTATAAGTCCTAAACTGAAGCGTAAGCTTGGATAACCATTGCCTTTGGAACCAACAAAGTGTGCCAGCGTAAATTATGTTTCATCTTAAAATGGGCCATGTTGGGACGTTGGTCCATCACCCAGGCTGCTGCACTCTGCAACTTAAGATCCCTCATCGCTGTCCTTATTGAAACGTGTCAAAGCTGCCTGCAGATGTTCTTGGTGACATCTAAACGGAAGTTATCCTCATCGCTGCCTTTGGCGTGTACATCTTGAAAGTCACCATTGGCTATAACTTCACTCCATTTGCAGGGCACCCAAGGACTACAGTGAAGCAAACCTTCTCATGCGCGATCACTATAATGGCCACCGTGTCTGTATCTAAAGCAATTACAAAGTCGTATCACTAGGTTTGGTTTCACCCATTGTGGTGACTCATGTTGTCAACCCCCTTGCCCCACAATAAGCAATCTTTGCTCATGTTTATAAATTCTAATCATAGAGTAATATGTGATAAAGTTGTAAATTGCTTAAATATAGCATTTCTTAAATTATCTTAATATTAACAACAAAATTAGAAGTAAAATCTTTCTACTTGCAGTTACAACATTATTAGTTACCATATCATTAATAACTGAGAGGGAGTTTTCTTATTTCTCTCCTTGTCCTTCAATTACTTCTTCATTTTTTAAAAAAGGAGATACTGATGCAGGTCCACAAATACTAATTGCCATCATATTGTAGCTAAAAGTCCAGACAACTTGAGAAAATCGGTGTGTTGGGTTGGGTTCTCTAGAGATCAACACCAGTGACGCTTGTATGTGTTGTCGATAGAGACTCATATCCAGAAATGGCTTACACAGTTGTAGCAACAGGTAAGTCCAGTCAGGTTCAAGTCAGGCTTCTCCTAACACATGGAAGCTGATTAACAGGAAGCAGGTGACAAAGCGGAGACAGCAGGGGTCACAGGCTGGTAGATGCAGAGATCCAAAGTTGGCCAAATGAATCTGCCACGGGTAATCCACTGATGGCTCCTGGGATCAGCAGGTGCCCCAACAGGAGGTTGAGGAACCAGGTACAAAATGTGGCTCAGGCAGAGGCCAGAGGCTGAAGAGAACTGGTCTCTGCTCAGTCTCTGTCTCTCATTAAAAAAAAAGAAAAGACTTATGACACCAAGGAGATGTCACCAGGCTTCGGC